ATTGGCTCAGTGTCTGTTTTATGTGTCTTTGAACTAAGAGCATATCTGAATTTTTAAATAGTTGAGGAAAAAAAATTAAAGATTTTTATTTATTCATACAGAACTGGGATACAGGCCAGAGATGTGGAGGGTGAGAGGATTCACCAGAGACAGAGTGGGGAGCAGAACAGGCAGATCAACAAAGTACTCTGCTGAGGGGAGAAGCGGGCGGGTCAGGAGAGACCTGTCGCACCATGTGGTCTCCTCCCGGGCAGGCGGAGATCGAACTCATGCTGAAGTGGCTTTAGCTTCTCAGTGCTGTGCTTTAACCCGCTGCGCCACTAGGGAGGGCCTGAGGAAAAAAAAAAAAAAAAGCAATATTTTGAGACAGGGAAATACTATGAAATTCAAATTTCAGTGACCATAAACAGTTTAAATGGAACGCAGCTATGCCCATTCGTGTACCGTTAGTGTGTGCTACTTTTTCAGGCCTGACATAATTGTATTTTTGCAACAAGTGACCATGTAACCTGAAGTTTTATTATCAGGACCTTTTTACAATGTGTTGCTTTAATCTAGCTTAATTCACTTTCTTTTCACCCATCAGGGCTAGTTCAGTCTCTTCCAAAGTGAATGACATTATATTGTGTTTATTGTTATCATCATTACTTATTATTATTTTTTTTTAGCATGGGGCGAATTTCCCTCACCAAATATTCTTGGGAAAGACTAAAGGAATAAGATATTGGGTAGGTAAAAATTATAGACATAGGGAATAAGCAGCCCTTTTTCTTTTTTTTAAGATTTATTTATTTATTTATGTATGTATGCATACAGAACTGGGATACAGGCCAGAGATACAGGGCGGCAAGAGGATTCACCTGAATCCTCTTGATTCACCAGAACAGGCAGATTGATGAAATACACTGCTGAGGGGAGCAGTGGGAGAGTCAAGAGAGGTCATGTGGGTCACCTCCAGGGCGGGGATTGAACTCACACTGAAGCAGCTGTTGTCAGCTTGCAGTGCTGTGATTTAACCCTTTGCACCACTAGGGAGAGTCAAGAGACTCATTTTAATTAAATGAATGACTTTTCTTTGGTGGTGTGAAAAAGCTTGAGTCCCAAACTATCACTCAAAGAACCTGCTGATGACAGATGGTGTTGAGTTTATTATTTACTATCAATATGGCAAGATAGACCAAACCCCTCACAAAGTTTGGTAGTTCCCATGTATAGAATCATGGTGATTAGGCTAGAATTTATTGAGAACTGGAAGTTTAGAATGCTTTCCAATAAGGAACTTGATTAAGATTGCATAAGAGTCATGTAACAGCAATGTAGCTTTGTTGTAAAGTGAGGTCAGAAGTTCAAAGACACTTTGCACACAAACCTCTATCGATGCTTTCCAGGAAAGCATGGATGGATCTTTGAACATTGTTCCCCACAAGAATTGTAGAGCTATCTTCTTTGGCAGAAATATCCCAGGACAAGATAGAGATGCCAAGTAAATATGTGAAAGGAAACATCATATTGACAGATGGAGACATCAATAGAGGTGATGAAAGCACAAGTCATATTTATGTAGGTGATAAAGAATGTTTTCGAGGTCTCCATGTCCAGGCTGTGTGTAGGTTAAAAAGTTTTAGTTCTCAATGTTTAGAAAGATTCAGAGCAAAGACATAGGAGTGTGAATGTGTCCGTATTTACTGGGGTGACTGGGTGATTTTTCTTGAGTAAATGTGTCTTTCTCCTATCTCCCTTCCAAACTAATTCCAATGTCCATACACCATGTGCTCACTGAGCAACAATACTGTGCTAAATAAAGCATTCCTATTAGCTACTGTTCTGTGTACAATTCCTTCTGTGTCGGTGCACTGAAGCATAGGTAAGGGAAAGAGAAAGCTCTGTTGACAAAGTCAGGATATCCTCTGGGACAAGGGTAAAAGTATTATAGTTTAATTCAAAACCCACACACAGATCCATTTATAAATAAATGCTGTCAGATGACATTGTAATGGATAGTGTATACCTTTAAATTGATTTCCTTTTGATGTGATAAAACATCTTATGAAAGAGATGTTGAAAGTGGTTTTTGATATAAAGTAACATAATTTAGGTTTTAAAGTAGAAAATCTTTTTGTTGATAGTAGTTTATTGGATTCAGTGAAGGCACCAAGCATTATTTGCTGCAGGTTATAAATTAGTTCTGAACCAACTATAATTCATAAATCGTTATTTAGGACTGAGTTATGGGAAATCTCATTAATTGCAATACCAACAAGACTTTGAAGTAGGCAAGTAGAAAATAAAGTTCTCTGGAGTTTCAAAAGGGGAGACATGTGTCCTCTGCAGTTAATAGTAGTGTTCTATATTTGCATCAATTTAATTCTGCATGCCATGTTTTTTCATGCTAGTTAATTCTTAAATTAACTATTACTAATAAGCATTTGTTGTGATTCCTGTATTGTATAAGAAGCAGCAACTAAGTTGTGCTATCACTTTATTTTTGACATATGTATCTACTATCTATTGCTTATCATGAGCCTGCCTTCATGTATATTTTGTGATAGTGCTGAGTAAGGCCTTTTGAGTAGATAGCAGTACTGTTCCCCTTTTAGAGATGGAGAAAATGAAGTATAAACAATGAAGTGATTTTCCCAAATAGAAGATCAAGCATGCAGAGGAACTCAGGAAATGTCACCCAGAACCTTTTCTCTTGTCTGCCGGACACAATTACTTGGGCTGCTTCATAGGTTAGAAAAAATAAAGGTAGTAGATGACAGATTAAGAATTAACCTTTATTTTTGTGCTGTTTCTAGTCAATTTGTTATTTTACCCTGAATTGAGAGAGACCCTAAACTTCTGATGAGAATCATGGGTTGGGCAGTAGTGAGAAGAATGGTGGGGCTCTGTGTGTCAGGGATTTGCAGGACAAGTGGAGGAAGAATGGGAAACTTGACTCTTTGCTGTGGTTTTTGAGACAAGGAGGCAAGATAGGGTAAACAGGCTCAGGCATGACCAGAGCGAAGCGTCTTAGTGGGTTCTTGGACTTGCAGGCAATTCCTAGTTAGCTGGCATGACTAGGGCAGAGGAAAATTGGTCCTTAATTCTTGGGAGAACCCCATGAAAGAGGTGGTTGAGGTATGGACATTGGTTGTAAAACTTGTACTTACATGTCTGTTCTTTACTATCTCTATGGATTGGCTAGCCTTTGGAGGGATAGTCTCTCCAGGATCAAGGAAACTCTGAATATGAAAGTTTTTGGGAAATATAAAGAAAAAAAACAAAAGAGAACCATGATAAATACATCAGTGTATATCACTTTACACATGGATAGAGCTGTAACTCGATGTTATCTAGCTTGCGTCTTTTCCAGAGCCCTTGGAAAAGGTACTGTATTGGCAGCGGGCTAAAAAGATACCCTCAGACCTCTGAGAGTTTGCAGGTTAATCGAGGAAGCTGACCCAGGGGCAAAAGATCACAGTATTGGGTGATGAGAAAAGTCAGCCTACACCTGTAAGAGTTCTGAGGAAGGAAGTCATTCTGCCTGAGAAAACTAGGGAAGGATAGAGGCACTAAATTAGGGGATTTTAAAATTGGCATATAGTGAATTTCCCCTCTCCCCACCAGTCTTATAGAAAATTCTAAGAGATTCATGAAAGACACATTGAGATGAGAGAGGTTATCATACAGGTATCCAATCCATGATGAGAGAAGTGAGTGGTGCCGTATACAAGTTCCTTTGAAGTGTCTCCTTGTACTGGAAGAGATACAGATGTGAGTTATTTTATTTCTCCTCCCACAAGTCTATTTAAAATCAGTGAGAGTAGAAACATATGAGATTTAATAATCCTATTATACTAAGATCCTTTCTCTAAATAAAATTATGCTTCATGGAAAATGATTTAATTTGTATTATGTTTGCCTATAAGTAGCACATGGCTAAATTCTAATAAGATTTGGAAGATGAGAGTCGATATTTATATACATTTGTGCATGTCACTATTCAAGTATATCTTCACAGGTCACATATGTTAAGTTGACAGTGTTTACAGCTGAGTGCATCACAAAAGAAAGGTATTTTAAAGAAATTGTTAAACATACTCACCTAAAGAGAGATAGCTATATATAGATACCTATCTCTATATATACTATAGATTCCTATCTCTTTATATATGTATTTGTCTTCATTCTTACAACAACTTTTTATGGAATGTTTGATATCAACACCTCCTGGACCCTCGGATGTATATCTGATTCTGAGCCCTGGTTCTGTACTTACCAACCATGTGATTTCACATATGTTACTTCTGCCAAGATTAAATGTTTTAATTTTGATAATAGAGACAATAACAATACCTACCTCAGAGGAATGCATCACCTTTCTAAGGGGTCAAGGCCAGCCTCAACACTCTTGATATGGAACCAAGTTCAGTGGGACACATGTGTGCTCTAATTTTCTATTACTGTTATTTAAAACAGGACATTCCAAATTTTAATTTCACACTGGGTCCCACTTGTTATGTAGTCATTTGTAAATAGCCTATTTTTGTGGAGTCTGCAGCCCAGGCCTGACAATAGTTATTAATTTTGGAAAGGATCTCCAAAGTCTATTGGGTAAATCCCATATCCTATGTCCAAACTTTCCCAGTCTTGTCTGGACAGTGAATTGAATGGTTAGGCACATCTCTGTGGCTATTAAGCATTCAGTTACCACTTGGTTGGTATGTGCTGATTAAGGCCTTCTATCCAGTTCTTTCATTTCTCCATGGTTGTATATCAAATGGAATATGGACGCTGAATAGCTGCTAATTTGAAGTACAGAAACATTTCTCTATAAATATAAGGCACATTGCTCAATAAGAGCCATTAGAGTTGTTGTTTTCTTAGTCTAAGAAATGATGGTTTTAGCTGACACAATGTATCACTGACATTGCTTCAGAAAGACAGCTGGAGATCTAATACAGTTTTGTTTTTTTGTTTTTGTTTTTGTTTTTGTTTTTGTTCTTATTGTTTTGCAGACAATTTGAACTCCAAAAGGACCAACACCAGATAAATTATGAATGTTGAACAAGATGACCTTACATCCACAGCAGATAATGATAGGTCCTAGGTTTAACAGGGCCCTATTTGACCCCCTGCTTGTGGTGCTGCTGGCTCTTCAACTTCTTGTGGTGGCTGGTCTGGTTCGGGCTCAAACCTGCCCTTCCGTCTGTTCCTGCAGCAATCAGTTCAGCAAGGTGATCTGTGTTAGGAAGAACCTACGTGAGGTTCCAGATGGCATCTCTACCAACACAAGGCTGCTGAACCTCCATGAGAACCAAATCCAGATCATCAAAGTGAACAGCTTCAAGCACTTGAGGCACCTGGAGATCTTACAGTTGAGTAGGAATCATATTAGAACAATTGAGATTGGGGCCTTCAATGGTCTGGCCAACCTCAACACTTTGGAACTCTTTGACAATCGTCTTACGACCATCCCAAATGGAGCTTTTGTATATTTGTCTAAACTGAAGGAGCTGTGGTTGCGAAACAACCCTATTGAAAGCATCCCTTCTTATGCTTTTAACAGAATCCCTTCTTTGCGCCGACTAGACTTAGGGGAATTGAAAAGGCTTTCATACATCTCAGAAGGTGCCTTTGAAGGTCTGTCCAACTTGAGGTATTTGAACCTTGCCATGTGCAACCTCCGGGAAATCCCTAACCTCACACCGCTCATAAAACTAGATGAGCTGGATCTTTCTGGGAATCACTTATCTGCTATCAGGCCTGGCTCCTTCCAGGGGTTGATGCACCTTCAAAAACTTTGGATGATACAATCCCAGATTCAAGTGATTGAACGGAATGCCTTTGATAACCTTCAGTCACTAGTGGAGATAAACCTGGCACACAACAATCTAACGTTACTGCCTCATGACCTCTTCACACCTTTGCATCATCTAGAGAGGATACACTTACATCACAACCCTTGGAACTGTAACTGTGATATACTTTGGCTCAGCTGGTGGATAAAAGACATGGCTCCCTCCAACACAGCTTGCTGTGCACGGTGTAACACTCCTCCCAATCTGAAAGGGAGATACATTGGGGAGCTCGACCAGAATTATTTCACCTGCTATGCTCCTGTGATTGTGGAGCCCCCGGCCGACCTCAATGTCACCGAAGGCATGGCAGCCGAACTGAAATGTCGCGCCTCCACTTCCCTGACCTCCGTGTCTTGGATTACTCCCAACGGAACGGTCATGACACATGGGGCATACAAAGTGCGGATAGCTGTGCTCAGCGATGGCACGTTAAATTTCACGAATGTTACTGTGCAAGATACAGGCATGTACACATGTATGGTGAGTAATTCTGTTGGAAATACCACGGCTTCAGCCACCTTGAATGTTACTGCAGCAACCACTACTCCCTTCTCTTACTTTTCAACCGTCACAGTAGAGACCATGGAACCTTCTCAGGATGAAGCACGGACCACAGACAACAATGTGGGTCCCACGCCAGTGATTGACTGGGAGACCACCAACGTGACCACCTCCCTCACGCCACAGAGCACAAGGTCGACAGAAAAAGCATTCACCATCCCAGTGACTGATATGAACAGTGGGATCCCTGGAATCGATGAAGTCATGAAGACGACCAAGATCATCATTGGCTGTTTTGTGGCCATCACACTCATGGCCGCAGTGATGCTGGTCATTTTCTACAAGATGAGGAAGCAGCACCATCGACAGAATCATCATGCTCCAACAAGGACTGTTGAAATCATTAATGTGGATGATGAGATTACAGGAGACACCCCCATGGAAAGCCACCTGCCCATGCCTGCTATTGAGCATGAGCACCTAAATCACTATAACTCTTACAAATCTCCCTTCAACCACACAACAACAGTTAACACAATAAATTCAATACACAGTTCAGTGCATGAACCGTTATTGATCCGAATGAACTCTAAAGACAATGTACAAGAGACTCAAATCTAAAACATTTACAGAGTTACAGAAAACAAACAATCAAAAAAAAAAGACAGTTTATTAAAAATGACACAAATGACTGGGCTAAATCTACTGTTTCAAAAAGTGTCTTTACAAAAAAAAAAACAAAAAAGAAAAGAAATTTATTTATTAAAAATTCTATTGTGATCTAAAGCAGACAAAATGATGTGTATTCCTCAGAACCTGTTTTTGCTGCACTTACTTACTATTTTCCCACATCTTGTCCCTGCCATCCCTAATTGCCATATTTTTCATAGGAGATCTCAATTCCCTAAAGAACTGGTCTAGGAAATTTTGTAAGATTTCTGTTACACTCTGAGATTTTTATGGTGAATTCTAGTGGTGAGATCTGGTCTCTTTTGTCTTTCTTTCTCTATTTTTTCTTTTTTTCTCTTTTTTCCTCATGCCCTTATGAAGTAGACCAATCGGGAATGCAATGTCAGAAATAGATTTTTAAGAGAACAAGGGAAAAATACAAGATCTTATATTTTTCATGTAATGATCTGTTCTGTATTTATGAGGAAGACCATTCTATGGAAAGGGGAGGGTGGGGATAAGAAAACAGCCGATTAATTTACATATGAGCATCTATAAATCCCATGATCTTTTAAACAACTCTAGAACCAGAATTTGTAGTTCAAAGCTAAAAATAAGATTACAAATAAAATATTGTTGGTTTTTCTGTACCTGGACACACTCATTTATAATATGGCTCAAGTGTAAGAGACCTGAAGGTAATTTGATTTCTACTGTCTAAGAAAGAAAATGCCAAATCTTCAGCAATAGCAATGATCTCTCTGGGGTCCTGCCTCATTAGCCTGCTTGAATTTTGGGTTTATATTCAAAGATGCTATGGTATTATATATTTTTTTTCTCATTAGGGTTATCCTTTGTTGAATTTCAGATTAAAATGAATAGTTCTGTGAAGTAAATTCAGTTTCACTTGGAAGAAAGTTTCAACATAATTTATACACTATCTATCTCCTAAATAAATTCCTGCTATCTAGATGAAGTACAACCACAGGATGGATGGTGTTCTGAATTAACAAAGTTGGAAACATCATTTTTGGTACTGAGTGTCCACAAATTTAGTTCAATAGTTATTAAAGACTTCTCCACACTTATTTTAGGATGGAGGGTATATAATTGATAAGATTTCATTCCTGCCTTTGAAACCCTAATAATCTTAAATTAGGTATCATTAGAGAAATATCAGGTTAACGGAGGGGACATCTCTATTATACAGTAGGTGACTGGTGGGCACTGGGTACCTGAAATTTCAAGCTATCAGGTTACATTATTACAAAAACTTATTGATACAGAGTTTCTTTCATTTTTCTAGAATTGTTCACTCTATTACTCTAAAGCAGACAGTAGAGCTATAAGACATCTGGGTTTGGGTTTCTCTGAGGGACAGGTACCTACTAGGAGATATCAAAGTATTCAGAGATATTTTAGTTATGAGAACATACACTAAATTCCAAGTGAGAGGGATCTTGTTTATTGGTACCTTGAGACTCTCCCAGCATTTTAAAATATTTTGTGTATGGTTATATATTTATTGTAAAGCAAAGTGAAAATACACACCTCTTATTACTTGCCATTACCTTATTGGGGAAAGAAGAGTTGTTGGCCAGGTATCCCTAATGAATGAGCAGCTTTGATCCCCACACTTCACTCTCCAGGCTGGGCCTCACTCTAGGGGGTTGTGATCTCCAGGGGTGAAACCCAATCATTACTAGCAAAGTTGCTCAGAGAAAGGGGAGGAATGAATAGCAAATGCATGAGACCATACAGACTTTTTCTTCTATTTTTCAATCACTGATTCTCTATTGGACTTTTCCTCCCTCATTTCTTATCTTCCTTTGTTAGGAACATGGTTCACATTGACTTTCACTGCAGAGACCTGAGAAAAGGGAAAAACACACTTTGACTGTCCTTTGTCAAATTCTTCAGTGTCAAATGTAGCTAATATATTCCAAAGATACAGAACAACCCACAAAAACAGAATAAAACAAGGAATAACTCTACACTGGCAAGAGAGTGTTAGTACAAAGAGTGGTATACATCAAGAGGGAAAAGACTCCTACCCTGTCTGCTTAGCGCTTACCAGCCCCTCTTTTTGGATTCTGTTCCTTCTTTCATTCTGAACTTATACATTTTCTGGGGTTAGTTCCTTTACAAAATTGCCCTTGACATTGAGGTGAGTGATTAGTAGACAAATTCTACTATATAGAATGAAAGGTGACTTTGAACTAAAGAACTGAATTAGAAACTAAGGCATACAATCTAGTCTCACAGGAGATTGTAATCATGCTAATAAATATTAGGGGGAAATGATGAAAGATTTGTTAAAATCTTGAAAACTTGATTCCCACAATAATGTTAGAAAATATTTTAACTAAGCTCCATCCTGTAGGTTTTGGGGTGGGAGGGTGAAGTGTTATAAATGTATATGGTACTAAAGTGAATTCTAGATGTTTAATAATTAGTCATGTCTGCATTAGATATGCATATTATTCTTGGCTTTTGCCCTCAGTATAGCACTTATGCTGGTGTGTTAGACACTATCACAAACTCTGGACATCCTTGGATGAGTAGAAAGCCCAGGTGAGTGTTTAAACATCTGGTACATTCTTGCAGCAAAACACAATTTTATGTTCATCTTTGTTTTTTTTTGTATATCTAAAGGCAACCAATGGGCCTTTAGAGTATTTAAGTACTCATGTGTGCCCAAAATATGCCATTTACAATTAATCAATTTAAGGTAACATAATAATAATTTAGTACATGTATTTTTCTACTGAATGGATGCAGTTTGTTTTGGCAAACATCAAGATATCTTAGAAAGAAAATCTTTATTTTTGTCTAATTAGGAATATTACTCGTATTGCCAGTTATCGTCAAAAGCTTTTAAACTCCAAATATGAACAAATACAATTGGTTTGGTAAAGATTAGAAGGATTTGGTTTAACTCCCACACAGAGACCCTTATATAGCTTTAACCATTTCCTCTCATATTCTGAATATTTTAGAATCAAATATAATCTTTCCCAAACATAAAAAATATGTGATTTTTCTTGGGACATTAATCATTTTTTTTTTTTTTTGAGGAAGAAAATGTTGGTAGTCCACATAATTTTTCTTGAGCATTATAATCAGAGTTAAAACTACAGATATTCTTTGAGATCTCATCCTATAATGTTCTGAATATGGATCGGGTAGAAAACATCTTGATAACAAAGGGTAGTTTACATGAGAGAAAGAAAATAAGAGGCATTTTTAGAATGAATTTTTTTGAAACATGAAAATTTTAATAATTTCAAGTGCCCCCAAGGCATGCAATATTTCTAATGTAAACAATCATTATATGCAGTAAATAAACACATATTCCTTATGAAACAGAAAATGAAGTCTTAACAATAAATATTTGGTCCGGTAATTTATATTCATTTTCCAGATTATTAATGCTACATTTTCTCGTATATGTGATGTTAAATTTGCAAAAGTTGAAATTGTCTACATGACATCAATCCTGCCTTTACCTGGTTGATAGAAGTGTTCTGTAGCTATATGATTTTTTTTACTTGAGTGGATGTGACAAGTCAATGTAGTTTGAAGGAAAGGTATGGTCTCTGTGGCATTAATAGAACTCATTCATTTGATCTAGACAAGAACTTGGCCGAATGTACACCAAACTTAAACTCCAAAGTTCATGATAAAAATCCATTATAATAACACCTAGCATTTATTTTGACTTTATATAACAGTAAAGCTTCTGAATAACAGTTACTTCTCAGCCCATAGTTCTATATTAAACACATAAAAATAAAATGAAACTCAGCAAATGCTATTTAATCACAGTTGCTAGTTTTATAAAGTATATAATTCTCTCAGAAAAAAAAAAAGTAGATTGAATCCAACTAGATGTATTAATGCATGCACATTATATAGTGTATGCTTTTGTGTTAGTTACCAGAAATTTTATATCAAATGATTTGTAATACTAAGAAAATCATGATTTGTTTACTAATGGAATATTTAAGAAGATAAATTAACATTAGTGAAATTTGTAAAATGCTTCAAAAGTAAAAGGTTGAGGTAGAGTAGACCTCCAGGTCCTGATAGCAAATTCTGTTTTTTTTTTTAAAAAATATATACTTTTACAAAATGAAAGAAGGAAGAAATAAAGATTCTCTTTCCAACACTCTTCAAGTAGACTAATTCATATTTGCAAAGCTATTTCTTAACATAAATGGACTGCCAAAGAATGATCTTCAGTTAATTCTAATCATAAAAATGTCATGTAGCTATGTATTCTCACCTGACATTTTTAAGAGTCTTGCAACCAAACCACTCCTAAAATATTAATGCCATCCTTTATGTGCTCAATTGCATTTTGATTTTACAATATATGTCCTCTGGAAGTATATTTTATCTTCAGTTTCCATTTTGGAACTTGTTTTTAGGGTTTCCAGAGCTATAAAATCAAATGTTGCTGCACAACATTTAGTTCTCCAATCTGGAGTTCATTTCTAACGATATTTTGGGAGACCTTATATAGTTGAATAAATTATTTCCAGGCACTGTTAGAATGGTCCTGTTTATTTTCATTCTTGAACTTCAAAGAAAAGACCTGATACGATTAATATTTATCTCCAAGAAAACATGAAGCATTGAGGAATTGTATAATAATGACAAATGCTTAAGGCATCACAATATAAAATACATATAATACATATTTTAAAGGAATTATGATAGAGTAAGGCAACAAGTTTGTGTTCACAAAACTATAGATAAATAATATTTTAAATAAATAATATATTACTGAAATCATGCTGGTCAAAAATTATGTAGCATATATATTATTTTATAAATAAATCGCTACCATACTTTGTATCAAAGATCAATACCAATGCCTATAGATCATTCCTCAGAATGTAATGCTAATGAGATAAATATCTCATTTTTTGACCAGCATGATTTCAATTTGGTACCATTCTCATTAAACTCTTTAATTTATCATAAATGATGAGAATGAGTTATTATTAGTTATTTAAGTCATTTTAGTAGTCAGAACAAGCATTGATGCTTAAGGGTAAATATAAATAGCTAGGTATTTTGAGAAGAAAAAACAACTCTTGCAAGTTGGTGAGCTACTGCTAGGTATTTATAAGGTAATTTAAAAAATAAAAGCTGTCTGCTTTATAGATAAGAAAGGGCTTTCTCCTCTTTTCTCATTTGTTGAGCCTTAAAAGACTGGAAATTGTATTTTAACTAAGTTATCACTTATGGTCCGGTGACCCTCCTCCAGATCTTATCTTCCGGTATTGTTCCCTTGTTTCCATCATTATTACATAACCACATGGTAATGTGCTTACCTCATTGCTAAAGATGATGCCAAATAACACTGGCTACATATAAGCCTGTTTTTTAAGATGGACACATTCATAGCAAGAGCAAATGCTGACAACACCAAATTCTCTAGATTGATGTCTAGACGTTACTCTGAGAGGTGCAGCAGAAGTCCAGAAATCACGACTGACCCTGAAGAAGGCCTCCAAGCTGGGAATGCTGCCATTCATTATTAGAGCTACCATCCACAGGACACCTAAACTTGTCATC